TCTAACAATAACGCGGGAATTGAGGCCCTATATAAGGTTGGCCTTCCACCTGTGACTTTGAATCACAAACAGTCCGATCGCCTCACTGCTGTTCTTGTGGTCTCGACAACTGGACTGTATTACGGTAGGTGGCCCACCTTTGGATTGCGTGATGAGTTGTTTTGGTCTCGAACTTCAGTAGGGTTGCTAGGGCATTTGATCGGGTAGTCATAAATTGATTCGACTCTTTCAGGCTCTGAAGAAGGCGATCCTCGCCGAAACGTAAGCCCAATAAAAGTTATTTGCCAACCTCGTGAGGAGCTTCAAAGAAAATAACAACAAGCCACATTATGCCGAGGTTCATTCAAAGCCGTACGTGGAGAGGTTATTGATTAGTGATGTAACCGTGAGTAAATCGTTTTCATCGTTCCCGCGGGGAGTTGAAAAGGAGGGACACTGACAAGGGAGGGATTTCAGGACAGGAGCGCCTATTCGAAATAATTTTCAGAATGTTGTAGAGGCTCATGCGAGGAAACTAGGACCACCATGATCCTTTTTCCGAACAACCTAACAAGGGAGGTCTTTCAGGGCAAGGTGCGCTTTTGGAAACGGTTTAGTACATGTTGTAGGGACGCATGTATGGACCACAAAACCATGTTTCGTTTTCGCTGAACGGTTTTAGTAGTACCAAAAAAGTGGTGAATAATACTCTTGATGGTTCAATCCCCGCGGCGACTAAATTTGCTTTACTTTATTATTTACTAAATTTTGCAATCAAGGTTGGCGGCCGCTTGTTGGCTTCAAAATGGTCCTGACGATGAATTTGACATCTGGTTTTTATGACTTTAGCGCGATTTGGCACCAAACCGTAGGCGCCAACCCAAATGCAAAATTTAGTCGCCACGGGGGATCGAACCCTTAACAGTACCTTATGCTTCTTTTTTGGTACTGCTATAACCGTTCAGCGAAAATGAAACATGGTTTTGCGTTCCCTACATGTGTAGACCTCCCTTGTAAGAATGTCAAAACAGTGGTGAAGAAGTGGTCCAGAGCTCGATCTCCGGTGAGGACTAGTTTTTTTTGCGAAAGCGTGGCTACCTCAATGCCGCAAATGGCCGCCAGACGTCGGAGCGTTAGATAGTTATTGATAGTGGTGTGGAACATTATGGCAGGCAACTACAGTAGTGTGACAAAAATTTGTCATCACCGGGGATCGAACTCTGGACCATTTCTTCACAACTTTTTTGACATTCCTGGAGGCGTTCAGGAAAAATGGACCATGGTTCTGTGTTCCTCGAATGAGCTCTACAGCATGCAGGAAATCATTTCAAAAAAAGGCTCCATGTCCAGAAAGACCCCCTCGTATGCGGTCATTGCAAACATCAACAATGAGTGAGTCGCACACGGTAGGTAGCAGCACGTTGAAATGTTCCTCGCTGAGAGAACCAAACCTTATGCTCACTATCTTAAAAACCTGAATTCATTGAGAGGGTGGTGACCATTAGACTTGGGTGAATTCGATGAGGAATTTGGGTTGGCCCAATTTGAGGCTTTGTCACTCATTGCTATTTGACGAATTCGGACCGAAAACAGTCGACATTGCTGCTCTTCTGGTCACACCACTTAATTACTCACACGTGCATCGGACAACACCTGCACTTTATCAGTTCATGATTGGATGCATTGAAATGCGCCTATCGTTTAGCCTCTGCTAGCGCTACGACAATACGCCCCCACCCCAATCATAAGAAATTGCATTAAGTAGGAGTCATTGAACCCGAAATGTTTGAGTTTTTTTTGCATGGGTGACGGAGGCTGTGAGAGTAGCCAAGGTAGCCCTGTCAAATGCAAGCACGCATTTCCAAAATCTACCGATTATTTTCTAACCAGGGTCTCACTTGCCCATACCTTCAGGGAAGCTGTACTTTTCTGCTTTTTCTTTAGAGGATAGGACCACTCAAGGCCGAAGGTACGTTACATGACGCGCTTACCGCTCGCGTGGTCTTGGTAACGAGCCTGATCGTGCGTCGGTCCAGCCATACCAAGCCTTCCATCCTTTCGGGATCGGTTTGGTACCGGACTTGTCTGGAAGGATAGGAAACGCTGACCTGTACCACCTCGGCTGGCCTCCGCAAGCCTTTGTATCGACCAAATCGCCAAAGTGCCACTGTGAATGTACAAATGGAAGTAGAATGCGTGTATCATCCTAAAACGGGGTTGATCAACCTAGTACTAGTGCTTCGCGTAAGCCGAGTGCGCGATGCATCCCATGTCAGCTGTATCAAAAACTCGTCAAAAAGTTACGAAATGGTAGCTAAATGATCCTAAATATTCAAATAAAGCAGCGATGAAGAGGGAGCGGCGTTGGGCCCGCCTATGCACCACAAGAATCAGTTACATGGCTGCCAAGTGAACGAACTTGGCGCACCTTCCATGACAAAAGTCGCTGGTTTACTGGCAGGACTACCGAAAAGTCAACATCCACCCCCTAAGCGGATCCGGCCCACCAGTCAGATGTGGTTGATTCCGAGCTGCGTTCCAGCAGTCGGCATAAATTCAACTGAAGCAACTACTGGGGGGGACCGCCTGGAGAAACGCGTTGCGGTGAACTCGTCCATACGTCCGCTTTCTGAGCTGTTACCCGTTCATGAGTGAAAACCAACGGCAAAAAGGAGGTCCTGTTTTGCGTTTTCTTGGCGGATTTCTCCGCTTTTTTTCGCCACTTCATCTGACACTAACCAGTCTTCCATAAACCGGTCCTTGAATCTATCGAAATCAACTGGGCCTTCATATGGCACAGTCTCCTCCGCACAGATCATGCATGTAGCACTAGTTGCCAAAAAGTCTTCTTGTCGCCTTTCAACAAGTCGAATGATAAACATTCATTTATCACGCCTTCTCTATCGGAACATTCGCTCAATCTTTTAGGAGTGCGAGTCTTGACTCGAACTTCATCCCATAGTTTTAGTGGCACATAAATGCGATTTGCTTTGTAAAATAGGCCATGGGAGTCAGTCGATGCACAGGTCAGTGATTTGTCCTCCTAATCGAGTGCGGTAATAATCAACCGGCTCCAAGAGTGACAGAACGGCTACGTTGAACTGGGCAAGATTCTGTCCGAGAACTGACTCCGGGACTGTGAACGTGGTGATTACCGTTGACGCTACATCTTTTATGCCCCTCTGGCTGCTATAAAATATTATTTCGCTTTACTCGAAGTTCGAGGCATAACCCATCACCGAAGTGCATCATCGGTTCAACTAGCTAGGTCATCGCTTTACGCACTTCTACGTCACTTGACTTGGTTTGTCAAAAATTCATTCAGGCAAAACATTCTAGAACTGTCTACGTCCTTGATGTTGTGATACTGAAAAACCGCCTATGTTGGCATAGTGATTGTGATCACAGTAGAGAAGAGCCTATTGCTGATAGGAAGTACAGGACCGAATGTGTTTTCTTCTTACTTCGGAAATAAGAAAAAACCTGTTTTTTTGAATCACACCTCAGCAATAGAACTTGCATGAAGACGTTTGCTGAAGACTACCGACCCTCCCAGGGTACGTCTCTATAAAAGGTGGCTCCTTGAAAAAACCACAGTATTAACTCGCAGGACCATAATGGCATTACCACTCTCATGTTTCCTATTCGGTTTCGCCTTTTGCCATCCCTTCGTCGATTTACCTGTGCCGGTGCCGTTCGACATGCCCCTGCCTGTGCCAATGCTGATGCCGCAGATGTTCCCTGTCTATTTACCATACATGCCCAGTTCGAGTGATTTAATCGTTTCTGGAACGAGTAAGAGCAGCAACAAGAAACCTGTTGCTTACTACAAAGTTATCAATGACAAGTAAGTTGATATTTCCTTACACACACTTTGCTTTGGACTTGTTTTGTGGAGTCCTTTTCGGAAGAACTACAATCAATTGTTGTCAACAAAAGGAGTGAAACCAGATGTGACCTCATATGAACGATACATTCTATTTAATTGATTATTATTCAAAATACTAATGCCATATATATGTGTGCCAATTGTCTGCGCACGTCACACGTGCATCACACGAGACTGTAAAATGGTATAAAAACAGGGCGCGAATAATTTTACACAGCTTCCGGGGCACACTCCGCCACACTCGGTGCCCCTCTACAACTACAATTGAATTTCCGGTTGTTAGACCAATCCATGCACTTTCTCCCAGTTTCCAGGACTTAACTTCAACGTTCGTAAATTAACCTTCGCCAGTTCTGGTGTTGCGCTCCAGCACGCCCAGCAGCTGCTTACTTCTATAACCACTGTAAGCTCTTCGTACGCATAATTTTCACGGTCTCCGGTGACTTTTTGGAACCGAGTTAGGGGGGGGGGGATGAATCCGCGTGGCAAACTCTGCCCACTTTGCTGTGCGACACGCCAATTATCAGCATTTACCCTTCCTCTCTTCCCTAAGCTTATCCACTTTTTTTCCCGTTTCTTGGACTTCTCGGAATCGAATTATAAATGCGGTGGCAAACTCCGCTTGCTGTGCACCATGCCAATTATCATCTCCGAAGCCGTTTTGGTATTGCATTTGAAATCTTAGTCGTCAGTGCCGCTCTTTTCGATGCAAGCCACGCCCCCTTTGGCTCTGCCTGGCTGGTGTATGTTTCGTACTTTTAGAGGCATGGGCCACCCATCCCAAACTCGGACCCTGTAGGTGTTGTTCACTTGGTACCGAATTTCGTGACAAGCGGACAGACACACATTCAAGCAGAGCCAGGACCAGAACGGACAGACAGAGACAGACAGAGCAGACAGACAGACAGACAACAGACTTAGCGCATTATATTGCATATGTTAGTAGGGATTTTCAATTCCTGAATGGTATGTATATTTAATTGAATGAGGAGGTAGGCCGGTCCAGCCAGGGACCAAATGCGAAAGGAATCGAATTTCCAAGGGTGTTGGTCAGAACACGGCGCCTGCGGCTGCGCGCAAAAGCGATACTGGTGTGCAAAATTTTAGAACGAACGTGCCGTTTCCGTGCTGGTTACTGCCAGTAAGGTCCCCCGATGGAAGTGAATCATACATAGAAAGAATTACTACAGTACACCAGAGTAATCAAATAAAAGGGTGTGTTGTAAGGTCCACAGAGTAGATGATAAATTATATTATTCCATCTTTTACACCCTCAAAGACAAAACCTAGACAGGTGGTTGAACGAATCCTTCGGTATGTGCATAGGATATTAGAAGACAATCCCCGTGAAGCACTCTCGTGCAGTTAGTCACGCCACAAGGGCGCTAGGGTCTGCGAAATTAGCTGCAGCAGCTGCATTGTTCCCCATTTGCAGCAGGCTGTTGTCTGGCGCCCTCTCATCTGTTGCGCTCTCTCACCTCATACTCTCCTCTCCGCGCTCAGTCTCCCATTGTCACAGACGCATTACGAAGAAGAGCAAACTCCCAGCCTCAGCGCATTCCATAGATTCTTATTTCTTATTGCCGGCTTATTTCGGACCAGTACTTCCAAATTTGTGTGAAAGGACCACACAAAATTGATTCTGGGGCATACTTTTTACTTTGCAGACCAGTGTAGATCACATGCACAGAAGCAGGCATCAAGCTCTGTGGGATTTTGTATAAAAGAATTAGAATTCTCTGGATATTTTGATGTCCTGTATAGGACGAGAGAGGAGAGGGTGGTCCGTAAGCAGGTAATACAGGAGGAGCAGGCCGTGATTGAAAAATTCCCTCAATACCTCGTATCCAGTTCATACAGGCACAGAACATACATATCAGTTCATAGATCTCTTATACGGGGTTCGATGTAAAGGTGTGCACTTTTTTAGACTTCCTGGAGGATATGGACGTGGCAAGGTTTATGAGTATCATGGTCCCGGACATGACGAATACGTTCACAGCTACGGTACATCTCAAGCCTTCGGTGACCCAAGCAGTGGCAGCTTTGGCTCATCACAAAGCAGCTCATCTGGATTCTTCAAATCGTTCTCAGTAAGTCATTTTAGTGCTCTTTATTTCGTCACAAAGCTGAGTAAAAAGTGAACGATGATGAAAATGTTCGTAATGCGCCATGCGTTTGAGTTTCGTTCATAATCTTGGAGGCATTCAAATGTGTGAGGGGTGGCAATGGGCTGAATCTGTTGCCATGACCCGCGTCGTCGCAAGGGAGATGCCGAATCCACTTTAGGTCACATACATCCATGCCCAAGTTCGAAGGGAAAAGCGTAGATCGCAGGTTCCTGGATACCCTTTTTCTATTATTTTCTTGTTTTTTCTAGCGACAACCGAGAGTTGTCCGTAACATCTCTTGAAGATCCAGTAGGGAAAGCTGGTCGTAAAATTTTGAAATCGTTTAAGCAGGAGATAGTCCAGACGAACCATTATTACGCATTTGATTCAAAGTTGCGGTGGGCCAAGCCAACCTGCCAAGAATTGAGCACGTGGATCACCCTACCCCCACCTGAGCGCAGTCTTCATCTTTTTTCTGTAATGACAGCACCTTTCATCTAGAGAAGTCACCTCCAGTAATACCAGGATCGCATATGGACCTAAAGACACGGTCCGTGATTACCTGGGTGGTACAATTCTTCACACTGTCGAGGTGAGCTGACCCGCATTTACGCAGATTATGCCGCTTTCATGGTTCCTGAGTGCTGCCAAGGGCTTATATCCTTTCCTCCTCCATGAGAGGTGTACGTATCAAGAATGATCCAAGCCAGTGTTCGCGACTATCGCTCTTTAGTACTTCCTCGTCCCGTTCAGCGTCCGTTGCGCGTACCCTGTCGTGCGATGCGTCAGGTCTACTGTAAGCAGGTCCTGTTTTGATGTTTCTTGTGACTCTTCACTTCCTTTTTCCCTGAAGGACCACTTCACACCCGCAGTTTTTGACCCAGTCTTAGGAGCTAAACCCTACCATCCTGGAGTATTCCTTTATAACAGAGCGTTCTCCGTTTTCGGTGCGATGTGGTGACATCATTTTTAGAATGCTAGAACTCCATCAATCTCGAGGCGAAAACCGGCACGGCATAATCTCTCAGCACCCATCAACCCTTCGAAAATCCACTTCGCCACATCAGCACTGAACAGCACTTCGAGAAGATAAGGAATTTGCATAGTCGAGATTTTTCAACTGTAACTGTACAATTCGTTATGCCTTCATTTGCTCAGCAAGAAAATAGTCATCATAATATGGAGTGGAAAATACACCCAAATATTATAGCAGCCAGTTTCAATATTGGTTGACGTCTCATTCCTCCAGGAAACGCGTTGACCGGGCAACTTACTGAGAGCTAAGTGCTAAAAATAGCTCGAAAGCCGATTCCCTATGTAGTGTAGCGAAAATCGATTTGGTCAGCGCCATATACATAGATTAATGATTTTCTGGTCCGAAAAGAACATTACGACTTTCCTTCTGCTATCGAAGACCTAAAAGCGTTGGCCAGCGAGGTGATAGCTCAGCAATCGCGTGCAGGCGGGAACATTACATTTCGCGTACCCGCCAGGAGGCCCATCGCGCGGCAAAAGGCTGAGTCAGCACGAGTCGCAGCGCGTGGAATGCGCGGTGTTATGACGGTATCATGGTACTTCGCATTTAACGTTGATCGCGGATCACCAATAGTACGCGCTGCAACTGCGTCCACCCCCGCCCTGTTGCCGCGCGATGGGCCTCCTGGCAGGTACTCGTACCTTTCGCAGCGAATAGCGAGCGCGCGATGCAGTTTGTCACGCCGCGCAGAGTCAGTCTTAGTGTTGGCACTTATTTAAAAGGTTCTAACTTATTTCGCTTCGTCCTCTGACCTCTCATCATGGTGCGAACTTTTTCCCGTATCTTACCCTAGTAATAACCCAAATTTTTGCAATGAGGTTTTTCTCTGGGGTTCTTGAATCCTGTTCCTGTTGACAGACCACTCAACTTTTGAACATACGATACGTCTAGTTTCATGCGGTATGTGTGTATGTGCCCATGCCATCCAAATGTTTCCATGATCCGTTGTAACTTGGATGCGCAGTGCGTCCTGGGAACATGGCTCAGAGTTCGACATTTTGTTCTGTAGCTTTTGGCACAGCTAAAAAAATTTATCAAAGTAGGCAGCTATTTAGTCTTCTGAATGATGCACTGTTACGAATCTTCTCAACGCTCAGTTCTATCCCAATAATCGATGCCTTCAGTCTTTCGTCTGGCTTCTTATAGGATATCAAGAGAATATTTTACAAATATGATTTTTTGAACAAGTTCACAGAAAAACGAGGTGATCCACAATTCAGGACTCCTGGGACTCTTCGTCAGGTGTCCACCAGCCCAACGTCGCCGTAGCTGCAGTACCAACAGGCGACCGCCAGCGCACTGTCGCCGCGGCGGTAATACCAAGTGAAAAAACTGTGGAGGTAGCCTATCTATTATTGATTTATAACAAATTAGTGTTTCGTAGAAAATGTACAAAATCTCACGATGAAGTCCATTAATTATTCGGATAATTACATAATTAGTACACCTGAAGGAACAAAGAGAACGCTGCTCTTTCGAACAAATGGGGCTAAAATGCGCCTGTGCGAGAAAGTTTAATGAGTAACTGGTGAAACTACCCGAAACTGGATCTAGCCAGACCAGAACCAACAATCTCACGGGGCGGGCAATAACAAAGACTTTTGTCTCCGTATCCGAAATGGATTTAATCTTACTTCGCCTTCAATTTAATTCAAATGCTCCACTTAGATTCAAGAACACCCATTTTATAAGGAAACCTTCATAGTGGCCATCTACGTGGACGGCATCAGAGAAATTTGCCCTCAGAAACATGGTGCTGGTCGAGCTCAATGGGGTTCTCGACAGATCGTGCACCATTACGACGGTTTTGGAAGGCGGGTTCCGAGGGGGTTTGCATAGTCAGAGCTAATGTCCCTAGGAAACTATCCCACATTGAATCGATCAAGAAATTATGTAAGAGCTTCAGGCTGAAGCAGTTACGGTAGGCCTCCTTGAGCCTGACGACGGTGACAGATGACGTCATATTCTGAAGACGGTGAGGGCAGTGAAGGAGGGCCTGCGTCTACTATAGAGGAACACTTAGGGAATACTCTGCTGAGGAACTCCCGTCAACGACGGCAATCTCTGCGAAGAAAAAACGGCCGAACATTATAAAATGTCTTTTTGGCAACACCCCCCTGTTTAGCTACTGGGGTGGACAAAGAAAGCTATGCGTAAGGAACCTTCCAGGCCTGCATCTCTCTTGCTCACCTTTAGCTTTTCCAAATGTTCTTTCTACCTACAATCCCTTACGTTCTCTCTTGCTTCCTCCAGCAAGGAAGAGTGGGAGAAGAAAGGCGAGCTGCAGTGTTTACATTGCAAGTTCCTAAGTTGGGGTCTGTTCCCCAAACGCCTTAGAAGAACCCTTTTCCCTTCAAAAAAAATGCATCACCCATCCCGCCGAGACAGCCAACATCTGGAATATTCCTTGACCATGTGCCATGGCGTACATACCCCTTGATGCCAGCAGAATAGCTCCCCATTAAGACACGATAAAATAATTAATTTTTATATTTTTTGATCAAGTTCGAGCTCTCAATACACAGTTTTTGAGTACCAATTTAAGAGATGTCGTTGTACGTAATAAATCAATCTGAGGAATGAATGAATGAACTAAACTTATCAGATAATAGAAATTCTTTTCAGAAAGTGACAACACTTCGTCCAGAATGAGCGCACATCCTACAACTACCTCTAGCCTGTTATGATCAGAACCTTTCAATATATTTTTTATTAATAGCGTGATAATGTCATGGTAATAACAGCTGATTAACAAATGTGATAGCTCAACGTGAAATTTTTTCTTGCAAATTATTTTGTATTGTGGTTATCTGGAACGGCTTGAAATAAAGTCTCAATTGTTTTTGTTGATCGATTCAAATAATCTTCCATTGTCCCGTGGCAAGAAGAAAACTTGAGAAACTCATCTTGTGCTAGGTAATGAGCGCGTAAAATCGAAATTGTTTTGATAAGACCCATAGAAACTGCCGACGAACTGAAAATCTATGGTTGGTAACAAGTGCATGGCGACCTTCAAGAATAGCATAAAACCACGGTCTATCACACTGACGAAAGGCAGTTGGCAGTATGGGAACACATACCGCGGTCACAATAGTCTCTGGATTCACCGCGTTGGCTGTGATCGGCTCCATTGCTGGCATCGTCTACATCGTGAACGACCTGAACTCCTTCTACGATGACGCAATTGAAGACCTCACCTCCTTTAAGGTAAACATCCCTTTGGTATCATTGGTTCTGAGGAGTGAGTTGATTTTCGTTGTTCTCTACCACATATTTTAAGGTGGTAGCCGATGAAGCATGGAACAAAATGCTACCAAACCCTGCCGATCTTGCCCGCGAGAAACGTGCTCCAACAAAGGTCCGTCGTGGTGCGTCAACAAAGGTCTGCCCACCGGACGCAGCGGACCACCTGGGAAACTGGAGGCGCGGGCGGATGGTGAGCCAGGAATCGATGGAAAGCCAGGACTCAAAGGCTTGAACCCGGGTGACGGCAAGGGCTATGTGGGATGTGTGCCTTGTCCTCCTGGAGAAGCTGGACAACCAGGAGCCGATGGTCCACCAGGTCCCGCTGGTCCTGACGGTAACCCTGGTGCTCCTGGAAACGGAGGTACTTATGCCGAATCAGGGCCACCAGGACCACCTGGTGACAGTGGAAACCCGGGAAGTGACGGGCAACCAGGATCTCCTGGTCGGCCAGGCGCCGCAGGATTTACTGGAAGAGGAAAGCCTGGACCACCAGGACGACCTGGCCTACCAGGACGAGCGGGACAACGTGGACATGGAGATATTTTCTTAGAGTAGTGAGCAACCAGGTTCACCTGGTCCAGCGGACCTGACGGAAACCCAGGAGCTGCTGGTAACGATGGACCGCCCGGCCAGCCAGGAGGACCGGGAGATGCGGGAGGCGACGCAGCTTACTGCCCTTGCCCTCCGAGAGGTTATGCCGCTCAATCAGGCCCTTCTTCATCCGTCAACAATCAGTGAGTTTTGTGAAACAGTGCACATATTTTCTATTGATCAGCTTGTTTAGAGACCCTTTGCAATCACTTTGTTGAATGCATTCTGCATTTCAGGAGCCCTCAGGCCAATCTGCCTCTGGAGACTACAAATCGCAGCGCAAAGTCCAACGAGCCATCGCCAAATATCCGTCCAGAATTTCGAAAAAAGTTGTTGTGAGAGCCTAGACTCTTTCTCCAGTAGTTTATTTGAAGCTATTTACCGGAAATAAATTTTGGCAATGGAGTCCGTAGAGAATTATGTGCATCTGAACATGGGAATGTAAAATCTGACCTGAGAACTTGGAATTAGCCCCGACAAGGCATCCCAATAAGATTTTGAGATCAGAGTTCACGTTTGGTCCATTGCTTGTCGCCATCAAGCAACCTCACCATATTTAACCGTCGGTTGCGTCATGCTCAACGGGGGCCGTATTGGTTGACTTTGGAGAAAGTCACATTCGATCGACTTGGGTCGTGCTCTAGGTGAACTGGGATTGTTAGGTTGGATCGTTTCAAAATTCTATTCATGATTATACCTATGTGTTTATTCGATCACTTGACGGCAGCTTTGGAAAGAACCGCCGGGTGGAATCCGTGCGGGCCAGGTGATGTCAAAACCAAATGGTACTGAAACAGTCATACTGATGAAGTAGCGGCGGTGGTCCTAAGCGGGCTACTATAACTCGAATTTGAATTGCGTCAATGTGCTGCTCACCCGCTTAGCTTCTCGCGACCATTGTCACTTCACATGCTCCGTTTTTGCCTAGGTGGGGCTTATTCCCACCCACCTCTTGGTCTCTCCATTCCCCTGTTTCGTGGATTCTCTTGTTAGACTCAGTTCTCGCACTTTTTCAAAGTACGACGGCTGTTTTCAGTTCGAGATAAATTGAGGATAGAAAAATTGATGACTGTCAGGAAGTTTCATCAGGTGAACATAAATTGCCATGGAGAAACACGGGGTGGCCGTACACTTTAGAACGTGGGAAAAGCGACCTCCACTGAAAAAATGGTCATTAAATTTTCTGGAGAATTCCAATTCACACATTTTCTGTTCGACACAGTCCTCCAGGAACTTGTACGAAAAACGAATTTTGAAGCATTTCGTTGAGCCACGCTTGTGAACTGCACGGAACAAAATGAAAGATATAATGAATCGGTGAAAATAACTTGGTTTCAAAGCGACGCCCTCTGAATTATGCTAGGTATGGCGCCTTACCAAAAAAATTTCCACTAAAAATACGCAAAACGAAAAAATAACACTCAAATTCTGCCGGAGTTTTCCTTCCACCTGATCTACCCAAAAGATGTATAGATGATAATGTTAATTCCGCTCAAGCTCATAGAAATAGAGGTACCTGATTAATTTGCTGAGTGTCGCCGCATGGCGTGTGGGGTGGCAGCAAGAAACTGGCAGAGTTATGGATAGTTTCTTTCTGACAAAGTGTTTTGGGGGCTATACCTCTTAAGCTGGTGGTCCTATCGCAATAGTCAATTACACCATACGTCATTTGTGACCTTCTTGATACTGTTCATGAGCTTTAAGGCCGCAAAGTGGTCGTAGTAACAGGGCCCTGCTCTAAGCACTTGCGCGATCTGAAAATAGAACCCTGTAACCAACCCAACCATCCAGGTTGGTTAATTTGTACCGTAATCGACTAGGAGGGGACCTATTGTTTTAAACGTCCGCCGCAAGTCATTTTATATGTAGGCTAATTACAATTAAAATGTAACTAAGATTTCAAATGGGAGTAGAGCATTCCGGAGCGACTTCATCGCCGAGTGCTCTTATTCAAAGGTAGTGATTACACAAGCCTCCGACTTAGATATTTGTAATCCCCTTGTTTCTTCCTTCATTTGTCGTATCTATTCTTCGCATAATAAATAACGATGAGGAAAGTTCGTCTTACTAACAGAGGAACTGCTTACCATCTAGTGATATTGTAAATGGCTAAAATTCAGGGCTCCAAGTCAGCGACATATGTATTGCTGTTACTAACGCTAGTGCGTGTAAACGAGCGCACCCTTTGCACTAATCATACCCAGCTGTTACGTTACTTGAACTTTGTCGGTCACGCTTCCATTCCGATCGGCTGAAGCAGCGGCGCGGGGGGAAGAGTAGTGATTGTCCAGCCTGACATCCGCCTCGATCCCTCTCCACGAGCCCCTCTCTATCATAATATTGGAAGTAAGAAAAATGTATCCTCACTTAGTATTGTATACCAACATACCGCCACCACCCCCACCCTTCGATTAGGGCTGCTGCGAAGCCCTTATACGTCTGATTATGGGGTCACCGGACAGTAATTTTTTTAATCATTAACTCCTATCAGCAGTCTGAGTTGTTCAATATTTTAATTAGCTGTACAAAAACAAAAAGTTTGTGAGGGAATTAGAATTCAGCTTTTCTTAATTAGGATTACACTTTAACTCTCTTCCTACCTTGATAGGCCTGGAAGTACAGTGGGCATACCTGTCGTCTTGATGAGTCACCTATCAAAGAAGACGCTTGGCAAGAGACGCTTTAAGAACAATTACCAGGGGGGGGGGGGGGGGGGGGGGGGGGGGGGTTCATACCAGTATCCATTTATCATCGTTAGGTGGTAGGTTTTTCTATTTTATTCGTTTAAGAATATCTGTTTAAGATTTATTGAAGAAAAAAACACAAAGGGAACGGGGCGCTCTTCTTCTTCTTTTGAATTTCGTGAAACACAAAGGGAAGGGGACGCTCTCCTTCTTCTTTTGAATTTAGCATAGTTTTGTATTGAACTGACGATGTATAGGTTATTTTATTAACCAAGCATGTAGTATTAACAGTCCTGGCGACGAGATCCCCTTTCACGGCTACCCATATCTCACCAATAGAATTCACAAACGTCGAAATCAGTGCAGTAATTAGTGAACCATAAATTTATTTCGCGTGATAGGAACCTCGGCTGTTGGCGGAAGTAAAACTTCCATCCCAGTCTGGCCTATGGTTTCCTTTGAATTTTCTTACCTCAGATGACTCTTGGTGCGAAGCTAACCTTCAATCCAGTCTATGAGGCTTGCTTTAGTTTTCCCAGACAACACCGGGACAGTGCCTTGCTGTTAGTCTGATGCGTTTACGGGTTTTCCGCGATTTCCCGTTTTCCATCAATAAACACAATAATTTCAGTAGAACATGATCAAACGGAAGAGACCAGCTTTGTTTTTTGACCTACAACAACAGTGGAACAGTACAATTTAAAAGATTTCAATAAATTCAAATATTAATTTAGTACGCCTTTTGTTAGAATAAAATCATTTACACCATCGAATTGCCGCTTAAATTATATTTTGAAAGGACTCGCTCGCCACTTAGTCGACTAAAAATAAACAGCAGACTTTGACGACCTATAGTCAGAACGCTGTTGTGGTACCAATCAATGAGAATTAGCTACTCTCACTAACCCTTAGGTTGCAGAAGGTACATGCACTAACAGGCGGGCAAATAAGTTTCCGAATAGCTAATTACGCAGTTGCTGTAAGGATGCCGTAATGTCTCTATTCATTCACGAAAAGGGACGCCTGCCGATAACAAATACGCAATCGCCTTGGCATCTGCGGGGAACACATTGCGTAACTAACCTAGCACTCGCGAACAAATATATTGCACAACCGCTCTGGCGAGGTTGCATCTGCTAACCTATAGGTAAAGCACATATTTCGTCCTCTTTTGCTTCTCCGTGTGCCTCGGCTGGTTTAGGGCGGAAGTCTTCCGGTACATAGACCGGTTGTTCGAAGCATCCAGTCAAGTGAAAAGCGCCACTCGAAGCTCTTCGTTCACCTGAAAAAAAAACCAGTTACATCCATAATAAGGTCCACTAAGAACCAAGGATGATTAGCCAAACACTAACCTTATTGACGATTTCCCAATTTTTCCAAGTTTCAGCAATTGAGGCGCGCATTGTGGCAAGGATCATTTCATGGCTGCGACTCTCTGGTTCATTACTAAACATTAGCCCCCTACGCCAATAATCAGGAAAGCTGTAAGCAGCAAACTCCTGATGAAGTTCGAACGCTGCGTTGTTACAACCGTGCACTGGGCAGGCTGAAATCAAATTTTCGGTAGTAGTTTCGATTTAGAAAAAAAGGGGAAAACTTACGGCAAGTTTGCGAAGTAGCTCGGGTCAGCGATTGATTACCCTTCATGGCGCTTACCTGGAATAAGTGGTTCACTATATTCGACTATATTCGGATGTTCGATAATTTCAAAGATATTCAACGTTGCATGTAAATAAACTCCGTTTTGAATAATATAATGTCATGTAATAACAAATGCAGAATAGTATTGTATCGACTTTAATTAGTTTTTAAATTTCCATAGAAATTCATAAGAGACAACAGCAAAAGTACACAAAACTTTTGTCAATAATCCATTTCCCATTTTTTTATCTTATAAAATAGCCAAAAACTCAAATAATTCCCAAAAAGGCACACATGGATAGACCAGTTCAGTATTCGAACGTAATTCACTTAACAAACTAGAACTCATTACTCATAGTAAAACAGTCAAACGAAAGGTAAAACAACGAAACAATGTTTAGACAAAACAGATAATCTAAAAACAGTAACCAAAATGGAAAAAAGGAGAAATTCCTGATTCTAGGACAAGTTAACACGTTGACGACATCGCGCGTTTTGGCATTTTTGGCCGCGTGGGACCAGAGCGGTTCTGCGAGCGCCGCCGCCTCACAACAAATCTGTGGATTTTGAGCTTTAAATACGCAATACTTCGATGCGACAAAATGTTTTCACTGATATTCGGTGTGTCAAACTTATTGGAAGGTACACATGTGAAAGTGCGGTCGAATGATGTGTTACAGCATTGAAAAGGCAAGTTTCACTTACTTTTGCTTTAGTGATTTCAAAATTATTTTGGACGTGGTTGTTTCGGTAAAAACACATATCTTGCCACACGAGTAGCTTTGTACTCACTTCTAATATTCTTTTTTATCTACATGTTCGTGTTAATGAAGAGAAAATGAGGAATGAACTGAACGGATATTTTCGTCCGGTCCGAAAAACCTCTGCCAAACTAAAGAATATTTGGTCATTCTATAAGCCGCGTGGTTCTTGGTTATGTTGTGGTATGGCCTAAAAAATGAACACAAAAAACCTGGGAAGAAATGGCGCGTTCAAGAAAAAACTGAATGTAAA